ACTGTGGAAGAAGCGGTTCATCGTCGACGACGCGCCGACACTCGCCATCAACCGTTTGTTCACCATGTCACAGGGCAACACTGCAACATGGGATTGGCTCACAGAGTGGCAGAAGATTGCGGCAATGCCCAATCTAGACCTGCCTTTCACTCATCTGAGGCGTGAGTTCTACAACAGGTCTTGTGCTACATTGAGCCAGGCTCTTGGTGATCGCGAGCAGTACGCCACCTTCGCCGAGATTATCGACAAGGCGCGAGAGATCATCAAGACCAACAGGTCAGCTGCACACGAGAAATCAACATCATGGCAGCCGACCTATGTGGAGAAGGTACGAACTGGTCCGCGACAACAGCACTTCGCTGCAGTCCAGCAGGACAGTGGGGATAACCCAACAGCCACTCCAGCATCAAGTGACGAAGATCAGGTGGTTGCTGTCCAGCCGCGAAGCACCAACAAGTCCCGCAACAATGGGAAGGCGAAATCCGCATCGCAGGCCGGAAATGGACAGCCAGGACAGTTTCCATGGGTCAAGTTTGGCTTGACCGAGGCGGAGTACAAAGTCTGCGGCCGCTACGGCAGCTGCTATTGGTGCAACAACACCAAGCACAAGACCTCCCTGTGCCAGGATCAGGGCAGGAGGATGTGCGACCCCGCCTCAGCTCGGGAAACTGAGCTTCGCGGAAGGTGAGGCGAGTCCACCTTCCACTCCGCCAGATTCGGCCGCCTTGCTAGCGGCCTCCTGCACATCTGGGGAGGATGCGAATGTCGCAAGTCCTCAGTATACTTACGAGGATTATGCTGTCCACTTGGTTCCACCGCTGGACCAACCGCTCMACGTGCAACAGTCCAYCGCATGCACGGTTTCATCACCATCGGCAACCGATTCGGCAGCTTCGCCGCAATCTATCGCCGGGGATTCGACGTCATGGTCAAAACTTGATGAGCTCGACCCGTTGACGTTCACGGACTTCCAGTGGATGCCCGTTCCCTCGACCGGACGATTGTCGAAACCGCATTGCAATGTGCTCATGGCACAATTGCGGGACTACTTGCACACTGCAGTACCAGCTCCGTTGATGGACGCCGGAGCAGAGGTTGTCGACCTTCTCGCGTACATCGCGAAGATCGACCGCGAGTTCAAGACGCAACGGTACGACGATGTCGACGCACCATTGCTATACATACRCATTCAGATCGGAGAGGCGACCTGCAGTGCCTTGATCGATTGCGGAGCATCTCGCAACTACATCAGCCAGGACTTCATGGTACGCGCCGGCCTTGGCCCACGTGTCCGGAGGAAGTCCCAGCCTACGCAAGTCACTCTGGCGGACGGTCATACGCACAAGTCCATCGACCGGTGCATTGACGCCGTCCCASTGTACTTTGCCCCTCACGCAAGTGAGGCGGTGTCCTTTGACATTCTGGACACCAAATTCGACATGATCTTGGGCATGTCATGGCTGCGAAGCGAGGATCACCCGGTGAACTTCTTCAAACGCACCGTTCACATTCGTGATCGGAACGGAGTATTAGTTTCATGCACAGTGCCCCTTCCTCATCCTTCGATCAGCTGCCACGTGGTATCCGCCGCAAGCATGCGAGCTTCCATCATCAGAGACGACATCGACGAGATGGGGGTGTGTTTTCTCCACGCCCTCCCGCCCCATGACGCTTCATCGACGGACTCACCTTCGGATCCACGCATCACCGAGCTTCTCGACGCCTATAGCGACGTGTTCGAAGGCTCGCAGGGAGTAGTACCGGATCGACCCATCTGCCACGAGATCATCCTCGAGGACAGGGCCGTACCTCCGCGCGGTTGCATATACCGAATGAGCGAGGAAGAGTTAAGTGTGCTCCGCGCACAACTCGACGACCTTCTAGAGAAAGGATGGATTCGGCCTAGCTCATCGCCATACGGTGCTCCTGTTCTCTTCGTCCGGAAGAAGAAAAAGGACCTGCGGTTGTGCATCGATTATCGCAAGCTCAACGCGCAGACGATCAGGAACGTCGGCCCTCTCCCACGCATCAATGATCTTCTCAAGCGATTGGGCGGCGCCCAGTTTTTTTCGAAGTTGGATCTCAAGTCAGGGTACCACCAACTTCGCAAGGAGGACTGTTGAAAGACCGCATTCAAGACACGGTATGGGCATTTCGAATGGCTGGTTATGCCATTTGGCCTTACGAATGCCCCGACCACTTTCCAAGCGGCTATGACAACGGAGTTCCGACACATGCTGGATCGATACGTACTTATCTATCTCGACGACATCCTGGTGTACAGCCGGAGTTTGGAGAAGCATGTGGAACACCTGCGCACCGTTTTGGAGCGGCTACGACAGGCCAAGTACAAAGCCAACCGCGACAAGTGTGAATTCGCGCGGCAGGAGCTGGAGTACTTGGGCCATTATGTGACGCCACAAGGCATCCGTCCGCTCGCGGACAAGATCGAGGCCCTACGAGTATGGGCCGAGCCCACCAACACCACGGACATTCGTTCATTCATGGGATTGGCGGGCTACTATCAGCGATTCATCACCGGATACTCCAGGATTGCTGCACCTATGACGAGGTTACAGTCGACAAAGGTGCCATTCGTATTCGATGACGACACACGCCGGTCAGTCCAAGTACTTAAGACGGTCATGCTCATGGCACCCGTCCTCAGCATCTATGACCCCACCTTGCCGACGAGAGTGACTACGGACGCTTCCGACTATGGCATTGGGGCAGTCTTGGAACAGCACGACRGCGACGACTGGCACCCTGTGGAGTATTTCAGCCACAAAGTGCCTCCCATCAACTCGCTTGATGATGCAAGGAAGAAGGAGCTACTCGCGTTCGTCATGGCTCTCAAGCGATGGCGGCACTTCCTCCTTGGGCGTCGTAGGTTCACATGGGTYACRGACAACAATCCATTGACCTACTACAAGACGCAGGATACGGTGAGCAGCACGATCGGACGATGGATGTACTTCATCGACCAGTTTGACTTCACACCGAAACATCTACCCGGCCTCTCAAATCGTGCAGCAGATGCACTCTCGCGAAGACCAGATCTTTGCGCTATGACACATCATGCCTTCGCATTCGACGAGGAGCTTCAACGATACTTCATCCGAGCATATGAGTCTGATCCGAACTTCGACACGCTCTATGCACAGCTATCTTCGGATCACCTGCCGACCAGCCATTACCGCATTGCCGACGGGTACTTGCTCCTCCACTCGAGAGGCAAGGACTTACTATGTGTCCCACGCGACCGTCGTCTTCGGACTCGCCTCCTCGGCGAGTATCATGATTCACGACTCGCCGGCCATTTCAGAGTCAACCGCACTATTGCACGGCTTCGACAGCGATTCCGATGGCCCGACCTCATTACCGATGTCACTCGGTATTGCGACTCTTGCGAAGTTTCTCGACGCAGCAAGCCCCGCAACAGCAATCCCTACGGCGAGTTACACCCGATGCCTATCCCACGGGAACCCGGTCTCTCCATTGCCATGGACGTCACCGGTCCGTTTCCTCGCGACCGGCTCGGGCACGACGGCATCCTCACGGTTGTGGACCGATTGAGTAAGTACGCGCGTTTTCGCCCTTGCAAGTACTACTCCACTGCTCCTGAGCTGGCACGCCTCCTGCACACTGGTTGGATTTGTGGCCACGAGGGCGGCAGCAAACGCAGCAGCTAGGGAACAGACTGCAGCAGCAGCCAGCGCAGCGGCATCCTCTGCTGCATCTTCTGCAGCATCCTCGTCAGGGACCCTGTTGGGAATGCCCCATGGGTCCCCGGGTACTTCCGGTTCAGCAGGTTCTGGTCAGTCCATGAGTCAAATGGCGGGCTTGCAGTTAAGCCCGTTGACCCCACGCGGCAGGGAGCTCCTAGAGCTCCAACAGGTCGAAAGGATTCGCGAACAGTTAGAGAGGGAACTGAAGCAAGCAACCGATAGAGAAAAGGAGATCAATAGAAGAGCAGCCAGACTTGTACGTTAGAGGCAGACAGGGCTGCATTGGAGAGTTTGGATGAGTTAGGCATGTCTGACCAACTGAAAGTGTTGAAGAATAGCATGTTGTCGCTGCATGCGCATGTGGACAGCAGACTAGACTTCATGCAAAACTCTCTTGACAAGATCTTGGACCTTTTGCAAAGGCCAGGATTTAGGCCAACAGCACAGTCGTCGTTGCCGTTAACGACGATGTCAGGCCTCTTTCCGGTACAAGCTGGCACACAACCAAGTGGTACGTCTGCAGCAGTCGCACAGACTGTTGCTTCTTCTTCTTCTGGGTCAGCGGTGGTTGCTACACCATCACCGCAACAACTTGTTCCTCAACAGGGACAGCAGCAAAGTCAATGGTACCCAAAGACCCCTATGAAACCGCCCCTTGCCTTCTCTGGAGAGAAGAAGGACGAGGAACTCAACACATGGTTGAGAACGGTTCCACTATAGGTAAAGGCGAAGAGGACTTTGCAGGAGGAGGTGATTACTACTGCATCTTACCTTGAGGGTAAGGCAACCAAATGGCTGGATGGTTTAGTCGCAAAGGCCGGGTACAGACGACGCATGGCGGACTGGGCTAAGACCATTACATTAGACCAATTCTTAGAGATGGTAGAAGCTCGCTGGCACAATCCACAACAGGCGCAAATTGCCACTGATGCGATGCACAGACTAGACCAAAGAAAGTTCAAGCCAGTCAGAGAGCTTACGACTACCGTAGAGAGCCTCATCGTCGTTCCTGGCATAAACTACGATGACCAGTTCTTGTTGACCATGTTTGTGAGATGTCTCCCAGAGAATCTCGGGAATTTGCTGGCCAGCGAGCCTCGCCTAGAGTATCACTCATTTGAGACCTTGTCTAGAAAAACCTTAGATTTAGAGGTCACTCTAGGAAGTGCTCAACCTACTTCAGTTGACGCAAGGAAGAAGAAGAGTTCGCAGGAATGGATTAAGAAGGGGAGCAAATTAATGATGGTTGAGTCTGATGGGACTCAAACAGAGATCGAAGAGCTCACAGACCTGTTGGACTATTCACAGTACGACGGCGAGGAGATAGCTGAGGGTAGCACCCTCGCCGCAGTAGTTAAGACTAAGGCTGGTGGCCGAGGGAAGGGCCATCAAAAGAGTCAAGGGCAGGCCGCCTCCAATCAGACCAAAGTTGCTGGTTGGGTCAAGGCAGGTCTTGATCAAGAAGTGTGGCCGGATCGAAGAGTGCGTGGTGCTTGCATTAACTTTGGTGAATACGGACACACCCAGTACAAGTGCAAGAACGCAAAGGTCACGCAAAATATACCTCCTAAGATGGGGGCACCTTCTTCCCAGGCTTCTAGCTCGGGAAACACGTGAGGCTGGTGGAAGTTTTAGCTGCTTCTACTCATGGTGAAGTGGGCCAGATACCCTCCCCACTTCATGAGATGACCAAGGCTAATGACTCTTTAGTCACCCTGCAGACTCATCCAGACCAAACTATGCTCTGTACGTTGGATGTGTCAGAAGCCTTAGAAGATTTGGAAAGTGAGTGGTCAAGTAAGGACCCTCGTGAATCTTGGGTGGCACTAAGGAAAGGTCCTAGAGGGGAACATTTCGTTGTGGAAGTTGATGTAGGAGGTCGCAAATGTGGTGCCTTCATAGACATCGGCTCCACGCGGAACTACATAAGTCACGACTGTTTGGAAAGGCTGCACCTAAAGGACCGGGTACAACACCTTAGTAGACCCGTAGCATCTACTTTGGCCAATAAGGAGCGCATGATTGTCACGGACTATATCAAGGATGTAGTCTGCACCTTCTCCTATGGAGGAGGGGAACTTAATCACAAGATTTCGTTCCTGGTTAGCGACGACTTACCGTTTGATATGCTGTTAGGAATGTACTACCTTGAGGTTGCCAAGCCCCAGTTTGACTGGGACAAGAAAGTCCTGCAGTATAAGTTGCCTGATGGAAGAGCAGTTAGACTGACTAAGTTCAAAGCAAGTAGTATAATTGATACCTATGGCTGCTTGCGTGCATCAACGTTCTATAATTATTATAAACAGAACCAAGAGGAGGGTATGTACCTAGTGTATGTCTCTGAGAAAGGGGCGGTCGTTAAAACACCCCCAGAGATAGAACACGTCGTTGCTAAGTTCCCTAATCTGTTCACGGAGCCTACAGGAGTCATAGAAAGGGAGGTTGTCCACGCCATAGAAATCATTCCAGGGAGTAAAACCACAAAGGGAAGGATCTATAGGATGGCTCCGGCCGAGTTGGACGAACTTCGGCGACAACTGAAAGAGCTGATAGAGAAAGGATGGATCCGGCCGAGTACTTCCCCCTACGGATCTCCAGTGCTATTTGTACCGAAGAAGGGGGGTACATTGAGGATGTGCATTGATTATAGAGGCCTCAATGTCATCACAGTAAAGAACGCAAAGCCTCTACCTCACATAGACGACCTATTGGATAGGGTGCAGGGATGTAAGTACTATAGTAAGATAGACTTAAAGTCCGGCTACCATCAGATCGCAATAAGACCTGAGGATCAACACAAGACTGCTTTTCAGACCAGATACGGTCTGTATGAGTTTGTAGTGATGCCCTTTGGCCTTTGCAATGTGCCGGGTACATTCCAGCATGCCATGAATAGGATCTTCCATTACCACTTAGATAAGTTTGTCGTTGTCTACTTAGACGATATCCTTATCTTTAGTAAGTCTGTCGAGGAGCATGCACAGCACGTTGAGACTGTACTTTCACTCCTGTGACAGCACAAGTATAAGGTCAACTTAGAGAAATGTGAGTTCGGACGCACTAAGATCTTATACTTGGGTCACGAACTATCCGCGGAAGGTATTAGGCCGGAAGATGCGAAGGTGGCTAGTATAAGGGACTGGCCACGACCTCAGACTGTTACTGAGGTCAGATCTTTCTTAGGAATGTGCGGCTACTATAGGAATTTAGTAAATAACTATTCTACAGTCGCCTCTCCTTTGACAGATCTAACTCGACTAGACACGCCGTGGGATTGGAGTGATGAGTGCGAGGCTGCTTTCAAACGATTGAAGCACGCACTCATGAATCATAAGGTTCTCATGGTGCCCGATCCTCATAAGCCATTCATAGTGACCACTGACGCAAGCCATGCATTGGCGCAGTGCTCGCTCAGCAGGATGGGAAGAAGTTGAGGCTGATTGAGTACATGAGCAAGAAAATGCCATCGAAGAAATTGGCGAAGTCCACCTATGAAAGGGAACTCTATGCTCTTTACAAAACACTTGTCCATTGCAGGCACTTTCTATTGGGAAGGTTCTTCTATTTGAGAACTGACCATCAGACCCTCAAATGGATCAAGACACAACTGGCTCTCTCTGATGCACTCAAGCGATGGATTGAGGTCATAGATCAGTATGACTTCAAGCTAGAGTATCTGAAGGGAGCAACAAGGTTGCAGATGCGCTATCCCGTAGAGCAGACTACCTAGGTGCACTAATTTCTGAGTTTGGTGTATCTGAAGAACTAACTCAATCGTTGGTGGGAGCCTATCAGGAAGACCCTGTCACGATGGACATCATACGCAAGCTTCAGGCAAAAGACAAGGCCACAGAAAATGAGTTTGTGATGGTGGATGGGCTTTTCTTTCTTGATAAGGCCGGATGTAAAAGGTTAGTTGTTCCATCTAGTGAACGTTTGCGTAGTTTATTTCTAGGAGAATGTCATGACGCAACCGAACACTTTGGCTACAAAAAGACGAGTGTCAATCTATTACAACGATTTTGGTCATTTGGAATGCTAGATGACGCAAAGGAGTATGTAGAGACCTGTCGGGTCTGTCAGCGGGACAAGCCGCGAACTCAAGCACCGCTTGGGTTACTGACGCCCTTACATATTCCAACTGGTCCAGGAGAGAGTGTTTCCATGGATTTCATGGAAACCCTAGTGACCAGTAAGAGTGGCAAGAGGCATATCTTTGTCATCATTGATCGATTCACCAAATACGCTAGACTAATTGCCATGCCAGAGACCGCAAGGACTAAACACGTTATCAAGTTGTTTCAGGACAACTGGGTACGTGATTTTGGACTACCAAAGTCAATTGTTAGTGACAAAGATGTCCGATTCACAAGTGAGTTGTGGAAGAAGACTGCTAAGCAGATGGGCAGTCAACTTCAAATGACTTCAGGGAATCATTCCGAAGCCAATGGACAGGCCGAACAGATGAACAAAGTTGTACAACACTTGCTGAGGCATTACATCAAGCCCAGCTAGGACGACTGGGATGAGAAGTTACCTCTCATCGCCAGCCTGTACAACAACGTTGTACACAGCAGTACCGACGTCAGTCCTAATCAGCTGCACTTGGGATGGAAGCCTAGATCAGCTCTAGACTTCCTCCTACCTGAAAACCGATCCTCTGCAACTCCGGGCACACTTGAGTATGGTGTGCAATATGAGAAGTTGCTGCAGCAAGTTGTCGAGCACATCAAGAAATCTCAGCAAGCAATGATTGCTTCTGAGAACAAACATCGTCGGCAGTCCTCATTTCAGGTAGGGGAACGTGTCTGGGTCAAGGTTAGTGAGCTAGGACAGGAATTCGGGATCTCTCGCAAACTAATGCCTCAGTACTTTGGTCCATTGGAAGTCCTGGATATAGTTGGGGATGAGATGGATGGTCCCATCTATGTTATCCGTATCCCTGGTCACTTACGCACTCACCCTGTCTTTCATGCCTCACTCACCCTGTCTTTCATGCCTCAAAGCTTGCACCTTTCGCTGAGACAGATCAATTCCCTTCAAGGAGATCGATGCTGCCCCCAACCATGGATGGTCAAGTGGACATCGACGACATTGTGGATCACAGAGACCTGCCTGTTCCAAAGCCACTGGGTAGAGGAAGACCTCCTAAACCCAAGCGGGAGTATCGCATCAGATTTAGGCATCATACGGATCCGAAGGAAGATCTGTGGTTCACCAGAGAGGAATTGATTGACACAGCTCCTCAAGTGGTGGCATAATATGAGAGAATGTTAAAAGGGAAGCTCAAGTGGTGGCATAATATGAGAGAATGTTAAAAGGGAAGGCACCTGCAAAGTAAGCATCTCAGCGGACTTTCGAAGCTAAGGGGGATGGAATGTGAGGATTGAGCCCTCAAGAAGGGGCCTTGCCATGATGTACATGTTCTGGGCTAAGGCCCCAGAAAGCCTCGTGCCCGCCCTAAGTGAAGGCGGGCCAGCAAATCAAAAGAGCCCTCTGTGCATACATTTCACGAAGTGGGGTCCATACAGTTGCAGCACGCCAGTTGGTTGGTGTGCACCGAGTATCGGAGCTCTGCAAAGGCAGAAATCCCAGGGCCCCAGAGTTGGTTAGGCCCTGGACACATAAACGTGAGGCCGACAATGCATGCTGGATATAGAGGCCGGAAATGCCAATGGGAAACCGGTCCACTATCTGAATCTGGCCGCAGGCCTTGATGAAAGAGGCGCAACTGCATCTCCTGGGCCCCAACTGCATCGGGCCTAGGTACAGGTACTGTGGCCCAGGCGCAAGCTCAAGGGAGGCCGCCCACATGCAATACTGGCATATAGGCAGGGAGGGCGAGTGGGCAGGGATTTTGGCCATTGCGAGCAATGCCGGCACGCTGCGCGTTTGCGAGGTGCTGCACTGCGCTAGGCTGAGGTAGGCAGGCAAGTGCTAAGCGGTAGAGCGCTGCCTGGGCGCAGGGCGCTGGCGGCCATAGCCAGGCTGCCTGTGGGCGCAGAGGGGGTGAAGGGCGAAGGTGGTTCTTCGGAGGTGAAGGGCGCTGTGTGGGATAACAAGGGAGAGTGAGGGAGAAGAGAGAGACGTACCTGGTGGAGAGAGGAGGTCGACATTGGTGTTGACATCATCACTCGCTGGTCAAGTTGTCTGGTTGCTTCCATGCTGTAGTTGTAGTGTTAGGCTGTAGAGTAGGTAGGGCGCCAGGCGCCATTCAAGAGAGAGAGCTACATTGGGTTATGTTGTTGGTGTTGCCCGATTGGGCTTGGACATTGACTCACGATTCTTCTGTATCGTTCTCAAATGGATGGTTACTCAGTTCCGTTGTGCTATCTGCTCTTGCTTTGACTACTTGGACTTAGTGTGATTTTGCAATCTGGATTTTTGTGCTTTGTCCACATTCATGTTCCTTGCAGTTCCTTATCTGGGCGATTTATCCCCACCCACCCCTCCCTACGTATGTTGTTGCCCCTCTCGTCTTATCTTCTCTATCTGTCTTCGGGCACCCCCTGCAGTGGCATTGGTGAGTTGCCACATCAGCAGGCCACGTCAGCAGGACACGTCAGAAGGCCACGTCAGCAGGCCACGTTAGCAGGCCACGTCAGCAGGCCACGTCAGCAGGCCACGTCAGCCGACAACCGTGCCACATCAGCAGCAGGGAGTACCACGTCAGCAGGCCCCCGTCCTGGTCTATGCTTTTGCGCTCGCAAACAGCCGTCATGGACCAGAAGTCCGGGGAAACAGACGAGGCCTATCAGACCCGGATGCTGCTTCTGATTACCGAAGCTAAGCAATGGTTGTATGCAGTAGCAGCCGCAGCAAAGCTGAAGGCAGAGGACACCGAGAAGGCACGTATGTTGGCAATGGAACAACAGCGCTAACACGACGAGGCAGCCGCAAAGGCTGCCGATGAAGAACGAATTCAACGACGTGAGAAGATATTCAACGGAGAGCGAGCTTTGCTCACAATGGCAGCGGATTGGCGGGCCGAGGCCGAGAATGGCAAGATGGAAGAGAGTGGAAACAAGATCGCTCTACTCCTCTCCCATCTCACGGACCTCCTGGCAACATGCATTACACAGCAGGAGGACATCCACAGCCTCGACGACGCGTTGGCTCAAGTCCACAGACGCCTCCCGCAGCTGGAGCAACGAACCGTCGCCGCCTCCGATGCCATCTCTTCCAACACCTCCGATCGCCTCGAGGCATTGGAGATTGACGTCGGCTCCCTCAAGGACGGTGTGCAGATACAGCAAACTGCAACGCAACAGTTGGAGCAGCGGATCTGTACTGCCGCCAACCACTCGAGCTCGGAACCGCTCGAGACAACTCCAAAGTTCGATGGGCAGGAGATCTTCTGCGACTTGACGAAGACAGACCCCATTCCATGGTTCCGCAAGTTCGAGCTCACGTTGCAGCTACACTACGTCAAAGAACACAAGCACCACACGTACTTATACTCCCGGTCGGGGGGCACGTGCCAAGCATGGTTGGACAATCTCTTGTCCAAGTACGGAGTGGTGGCTGCCGACTTGCATACCAAGATCAGTTGGGATGATCTAAAGGCGGCGTGGCATAAGCGTTTCCAAGTAGAGCCGCCGGAGATCAAGGCAATGGACAAGCTGATGGTCTTCGAACAAGGCACGCTGCCGAGTGTTGACTGGATTGCCGAGTACCAACGTTTGACATCCGTCCCAGACATTCAAATGGCCTTCAAAGCCATCAAACACTACTTCATCTCGAGGTCGTGTCCGGTGTTGGGCAATGCCTTGATTCACGTCGAGGACACCCTGACGACACCGACAAAACTCTTCGACAAGGCCAATGCAGATTATTGTCACGAACAAGGAGGCCAAAAATTTCCAGCGTTTGTTTGCTCCAGGTCTGAGCAGAGATCAAGATTGGCCGAAAGTGGTCGTGGTCGCAGCGGCAACGCCAAACGACCAAACTAGCGAGGCCATGTCTGCCAATGAAGGGGACTGACTCGCTACCGCCCAGAAAGGTGGCCGCCCTGGCAAAGGCCGAGGACGCTGCAAGGCGAAGACAAACATTGCATCTAGCCCCGGGCCAGGCGCAACAGCTCTAGCCCCATGGTCCCATTACGGTCTTTCCGAGCAAGCATACAAGGCGCGCACAAGATTCCGCTATTGTCTGTGGTGTAACAACTTTCTCCACGACACAATAGACTGCCAGTCGAAAGGCGAGGGCAAATCGGGAAACTGAGCACCGCCGGGAGTGACTCGATGACACTCTTGATGCCTTCGGAACCGGTCGCTTCGCGGGTGACCGCCCTTTGTTCCGGGGCACATGCGGAAGTCGATAGTCCTCCTCTTCTTTATTCTTTTGAGGACTATGCTGCCCGGCTCGTTCCTACGTTAGGTACTTATGCTCAAGGACAAGAAGTGTGTGCGGCATCTTCTTCGTCCGGCAACAGCAACTTATCGTCTTCAAGTGGTTCTTCACGGGATTCAGTGCGCGAGTTCAACATAGAGGTATTGGACCCGCTCACGCCGAGGATTTCGCATGGCTTCCTCTCCCGACCACGGGCCGCTTGCCGGGACCGCAATGCGCAGCATTATGCGCTCATCTTCACACGTACCTATCCTTCTATGCACCACCAACAACGGATGACGAAGTCGCGGTGGGGGACATCCTTGCATATGTTACGAAGGTGGCCTGCGAGTTTTGCAATCAGCGATACGACGACAACAACGCACCGTTCCTCTATGTCCGCATCCAAGTTGGGCAAGCGTCCTGCAACACTTTGCTGGATAGCGGCGCGTCTCACAATTTTATGAGTCAAACCTTTATGCAAAAGGCTGGCCTTGGCGCACAAGTTCGAAGGAAGGCAAACCCGACGGCGATCAAGTTGGCGGACGGAAGGACGCGGCAACTTATCGACCTCTACATCGAGGCCGTACCGGTGTATTTCGCACCTCATGCATGCGAACCGGTAACGTTCGACATTTTGGACACAGACTTCGATGTTATTTTGGGTATGCCTTGGCTTGCAAGTGCGGATCACACGGTCAACTTCCACTTGCAGACTCTTACCGTTCGCAACGCCTTCGGCGCCGAAGTGTCGTGTACTATTCCTCTTCTGCACCCTTCGATTTGATGCCAAGTGGTGATGGCCAAGTCATTCCGGGCTACTTGTGCTTACTAGCAGCCCGACGAAATCGGCCTAGGTTTCCTATGGACCGTCGCGGTAGTCGACTCTTCACCCACGGACTTGTCTTCGGACCCCCGTGTGGTGCGGTTGCTTCACGAGTTCGTCGACATCTTCGAGTCACCTACCTGTGTGGTGTCGAATCGACCGATCTCTCATAAGATCATTCTTGAGGTCGGTGCCGTGCTGCCGAAAGGTTGCATTTACTGCATGAGCGAGGAGGAGCTTACGGTCCTCCGCGCGCAACTCGATGACTTGATGGACAAGGGTTGGATCCGCCCTAGTAGCTCCCATATGGAGCGCCAGTTCTCTTCGTACGGAAGAAGAACAAGGATCTACGATTGTGCATCGACTTCGCGAGCGCTTTTGGTGGCCCGGCCTTCTCGGCGATGTCACATGCTATTGCGAGTCATGCGAGGTTTGTCGACGCTGCAAACCCCGCAACCATCGTTCGTACAGCGAGTTGCGACCATTACCGGTCCCCTTGCGCCGGAGGGAAGTGATTACCATGAACATTACCGGGCCATTCCCCAAGCACAAGACCGGTGTGGATGGGATTCTTACGGTGGTCGACCGACTCACCAAGTCCGCCATGTTTTTGCCTTGCCGCTATCATGCCAAGGCGCCGGAATTGGCCGAGGTTCTTTACGCTGGTTGGATTCGAACCAAGGGTTACCCCAAGGAAATCGTCTGCAACTGCGACACTCGGTTTAAGTTCGATTTTTGGTTGACGCTCATCAAATGATGGGGCTCATCTCTCAAGCCAAGCTCGGCTCGCCTACTTGGTACACTTTGCGTACTGCACCCCGAACGCAAGATGCAAGGCAAGCCGGTATCTTCGGCTCCACGCACCCGCGTCCAGGTTCCACCTTCAGATCGTCAGCTTCGCCCTCGACCCGGCTTGACTTCATAAGGAGGGGGGGGTGTTACATGCTGCGCCTGCAATAGGTTGCATGGGCCATTTTTCAAGCCCGTGTTGTTTTCAGCCTGAAAGCCTGAAAACAAGGGCCTACATGCCCCGTGTTGTTTTCAGCCTGAAAGCCTGAAAACAAGGGCCTACAGGCCTCGTGTTCTTTTTAACCTGAAAGCCTAAGAACAAGGGCCTACAGGCCCTGTGTCGTTTCAGCCTAAATCAGGGTCTTTCCGGCCCTGAGTCCTTTTAGCCTGAAACTTAGGGCCATTTTCAGGCCCTTATGAGTTCGACCTGCCCTGAAACTCAGGCACCAAACCAGGGTTTTAGCACAGGCCATTCTGGGCCTGCTTTCAAGACAACCCCTGGTTGAGCTTCAACGCCAGGGTCTGTCATGTTTCGACATTGGCAAGAGCAGCCTCCTGGACGTGCCAGCACTATATAGGACTGGCCCGCCCTGCAGGCTGCAGGTAGTGGCTAGGTAGTTCCTTGGTACTTCCCAGGCACTTCACGTGCAGTTCAGGAGGCAGGAGGTAGTCTTCAGGATTCGGCAGCAGCACACTGGAGGAGCGCTGCAGTAATAGTGGCAGTGTTAGCAGTAGTCTTCAGCGCTGGGCGCTAGTAGCGTTAGTAGTAGTCTTCAGCGCTAGGCGCTCTTAGGAGCTAGGATAGTACTAGAGAGAGAGAGATTGGGCGGAGGCCAGGGATACTTACCTGCAGTGCCATAGCTCCAACTTCGCCTTCAAGGTACCTGCAGCACAACGCCAACTTCACAGGTTAGTACCTGGCATATGAGAGAGAGAGAGAGTTCTTCTTCTTCCTCTTCTCAATCCACCATCTCCATCTCACCCTCTTGCTACCTGACTTCACTGCATCAGCAGACTATGAGAGAGCGGGCTTGGTGACATTTGGATCCAGACTCGACATTTGGGCTTCAGACATTTTGACGAGGGATTATTTGGGACTCGAAACAAAGACTTAGTGTTGACGATATTCGCATCTCTCCCCCTCTTCTTCGTTTGTTCCCCTCCTCTTCGTCTGTGCACGATCTGGACCTGGCGCCTTCTTCTTGTGTATAGCGCCAGGCCCCTTCACACATGTGATGAGAATGATGTATGTTGGGTCTGCGTTGCAACGTTGATTGGGCTAGTCATTGGTATCCTAGCAGTCTGCTACGCTGTCTTGCACTACGTGATAGAGGTCAGTCCCGGTCACATCAGGACTTGTATCTAAGTCTTCCCTGCACTATAAAGCACCACTTTTGTATGTATTAGAATGTACACTGCTTGTTGAGATTTCACTTGCACTTCATTGTCCATTCAGTCCTTTTTATCACATTGCGGATCCTTTGTTTATTATGTACATCACCCAACTGGGCATGTAAAAGGTACCAGCTGTCTCTTCGTCAAGAAAAACGAAACCTCTGAACTCCTCATGTGCACATATTACCGCGCCTTGAACCGGATCACGATCAAGAACAAGTATCCGCTACCTCGCATCTCCGAACTTCTTGATTGCCTTCGTGGAGCCAAATATTTCACCAAGATTGACCTCCGCAGTGGTTTCCACCAGATCCGCATTCACGAAGAAGATACACATAAGATCCTTTCGCTCTCGCTTCGGGCACTACGAGTTCCTTATGATGCCTTTTGGCCTCACAAATGCCCCAACGACCTTCCAGTCTACATCGAATCACATCTTTCGCGATCTTCTCGAAATCTGTGTCGTCGTCTATCTTGATGATATCCTGGTCTTCAGTCCCACCTTCAAGACTCACCTTCAACACATCCGCGTCCTCTCTATCCTCAAAGACCAACAGTTCTACGCCAAGCTCAGCAAATGCACTTTTGCTGCCTCAAGCGTAGAAAACCTTGGCCACATTGGATCCGCTGATGGTATCTGCATGGACCCTTCGAAGGTCATCGCCATGGTCGAGTTTCCCCCACCTACAGCCTTGCTGCAGCTTCGTTCCTTCCTCGGTCTTGCCAACTACTACCGCCCCTTTATCTGTGCCTTCTCCGAAATCTCCTACCCCCTCCACAAGCTCACTCGCAAGAACGAGCATTTTGCATGGAACAAACGCCATCAAGCTGCCTTCGACCTCCTCAAACAAGTCATTACCATAGCCCCTGTCCTCAAGATTGCTGACCCCTCTCGACACTTTTATGTTACCACCGATGCCTCAGACTTTGCTATTGGAGCCGTCTTGTCCCAACACTTCCCTCGCGACATCTTGGACCCTCCCTCCATCAAGGATTCCCCCACCCACTCCGAGCATCCACCCGACGAGTATCCTATCGCATTTGCGAGCAAGAAGCTCATCCCAGCGGAGATGAACTATCCCTCCAAGGAGAACGAACTCCTGGCCGTCATCCATACCCTCAAAGTTTGGCGCCCATACCTCGATGGTCAGCACTTCACTATCCACACCGACAACACCATCGTCTCAAGCATACTCACCAAGAAAGATATCACACCCCACAAAGCTCGATGGCTAGACTTTCTCGCCCAATTTACATTTACCATCTATCACACCCCCAACAAAAGCAACCACGTCACTGATGCCCTCTCTCGAGGACCTGATCACAAGCCCCTTGAGAAAGTCTATGCCGCCATGACCCATGTTCAGCTCCTACCTTCACTCCACCACCGCTATACTGACGGGTACTCTTCATGCCCAAATTTCTTTACCATCTACAACAAGCTTCGCGAACCTCGAAACTGTCCCCAACTACTCCCTCTACAACAACCTTTTGTACATTAACACTAAAGGCACTCACCAACTTTGTATCCCTGACGCACGTGGTCGTCGTACCCAACTCTTGGCCGAACACCACGACGCCAAGACCGTAGGACACCTTGGTTTCCATAAGACATTCGACACCGTCTCTCGCTACTTCTACTGACCCTCACTCCTCGCTGGCGTCAAAGCATACATCCGCTCATGCCCCACTTGTCAAGCAGTCAACCCCTCAAACCAGGCGAAGCCTGGTAAGCTCCAGTCATTGCCTATCCCCACCCATCGGTCGCAGTCCATGTCTATGGATTTCGTATGCAGTCTCCCCAAGACCGACCGAGGCTATGACTGCATCTACGTCATTGTCTGTTGCTTGACCAAGCGGGCCCATTTCATCCCTTGCACCACTTCTCACAATGCCAAAGACGTTGCCACACTCTTCTTCGATGATGTCGCACGCCATCACGATCTCCCTGAAAACATCATTAGTGACCGTGATCTTCGCTTCGTTTCCAAATTCTGGAAAAACTTGTTCAAAGCCTACGGCACCACTCTCAAGTACAGCACTGCATTCCATCCCCAGACAGATGGCCAGACCAAAAAGATGAACGATACTCTCCAAGGATCCTGCGGAAGTATTGTCATCCACACAACACGACTGGGATTAGTTGCTCACTGCCACCGAGATTGCCTACAACAATACTGCCTTGACCTTGGCTACCATCCCCCCGCCCTTCCACTGGCATGTCCCCATACTTCCTTGACCTTGGCTACCATCCCCCCTTGCCCTCCGATTTCTTGCTCCCTTCGCAGCTCAACCCATCCACTCCCTGTTCTTCTCTCAATGAATGGGTTGCAACAATGAACCGCCTCCTCGGAGAAGCCACCGATGCCCTTGAACAAAACCAACAACAACAGGCCAACAAGACCAACAAACACAGATGAGATATCACATTCAACGTAGGGGACAAAGTCTGGCTCTCCGCCAAACGCTTTGAACCCGAACATGGCTTGTCTAGGAAACTCTCAAACAAGTGGCTCGGTCCATTTCCCATCATTGAACAAACATCCCCTGTAAATTACAAACTTCAACTACCCCCTGGCATGAGCCGTGTTCACCCTCTCTTCCATGTCGAGTACTTGAAAGAATACCATGAATCACCTCCAGAATTTGCCGACCTCCCGTATCCTAGACCTCCACCAATCATGCTACCTACCGGGCCTGAATTTGTGGCAGAAGCTATCATAGGACGAAGAACAACTCAAGTATCCGATCACCCCAAACTAATCATTGAATACAAAGTCAAATGGACCGGATACCCAGATGAAGAATCTACATGGGAACCCCTCG